AAAATGGTTATATAAGAAAGTAAAAGGCAGGGCAAAAGTTAAAGAAAGTTTAGAATATTTTTAAATTGTCTGTGCCGATTAAATAAAGCTCATAAAAGGGAATAAGTTTACATATGATCCAGTTAACTATGTATTGTCTTTAAAATCTTTTGGCTTGTAATCTTGTTTCAACAAATGTTCTAAGCCTCTGATATTTAACAAACCTTCCAAAGTCAAAACTCTAAATTTGGAACTCAATACCTGTAGCACAGTGGTTATGGCGCTGGCCACATGCACCAAGGCTAGCAGATTCAAACTCAGTTGGGGCCAACTAAACAACAAAAACATAACTCTAAATCTGATCTTTTTAAAATATTAAAACCACTGAAAACCTGAGGAGAACAAATTAAACTTATTTGGTTTATTAAAAATGTATAGGAAACATTGTCAAATATGAAATGGTAATTAATTTTGTATGAACTATGGTTATATGTGTGTTCCAATATTGGGAACATTAGTCTATCCTAAAGTATAAGATATTAGTCTGCCCTAAAGTATAAAATATTGGTCTGTCTTAATGTATGTTATCAGTAATAATTTTAATTCATCAAAAAAAAGAGAAAAGAAATATTAAGAGAAACTGACAAATTCTCTCAAATTCAAATTACTAATGTCTTTGAATTGAGTACCTTTGGACTAAAAACAGACTTTTAGAACTTTCATTAGAAAGATGAAACATGTCTATCAGTATTGCTAACCTAGCTTCAAACAGAACAGAAATCAGTTACATGGAACTAAGCTGATTTGTTATAGTTTTGTTTGAAATATTGCTGATTTGGCTCGACGCCTATAGCTCAACCGGCTAAGGCGCCAGCCATGTACACCTAAGGTGGCGGGTTCGAATCCCCAGCCTGGACCCGCCAAACAACAATGACGGCTGCAACCAAAAAATAGCCGGGCGTTGTGGTGGGCGCCTGTGGTCCCAGCTACTTGGGAGGCGGAGGCAGGAGACTCGCTTGAGCCCAGGAGTTGGAGGTTGCTGTGAGCTGTAATGCCACGGCACTCTGCCCAGGGGGACAGCTTGAGGCTCTTTCTCAAAAAAAAAAAAAAAAAAAAGAAATATTGCTGATTCTTTCTATGTTCTGTTTTCCAGAAGTCAAGAAAACCATTTACTATCTTCTGAACTATTTATAGCTTTTCAAGAAATATATGTACTTATAAGCAGAATCTGAAATATATTTTTTTTCCTCTCTCATTAATTTCTCTGGAATTTAAAGGCCATTAGGAAGTATTCTTAATTTCTGACAATACAATTATTTGTATAAGTTTAATAAGAGTCTGTTTTGTTCTATAGAATAATGAAGACACTGATTATTCTACCAAGACTTTGCCTGGAATAGCATTTCCAGGGGTGTCCAGACTGCATTAAGAAATTGAGGTTGACTTTATAAAGCCAATAAAAAGCCCTTTTAAAACCTGGCCAGATACCCATCAATAATGTTTCCTGATCTGTGGTAAGTAATGAAGGTCACTTTCTGACAGGTCTAGGAATCGAAATGTAGTTGGGAACCTCAAGAGAAGAGGAATTTACCCAATGCATACAGGTATCTAATGGCACAGATGAAACCTGGGCTCATGAAAGGCTTGCAGTCCAACTGAGATCCCTTATAAAAGATTCCAGCAAAGCCAATTTTAAAGAAGAGCCTAAATGACTAATAATTAAATATTCTTACTGCACTCTATGCAAATAGTCAAACCCAGTATACTGAAGGTATAGTTCATTTTAGCAACTGAGTTGGTTCTGCTGTAATTTATCTTTGGTGGAAGGAGAAATCAGAGAGAGAAAAATAGTCCAAGAAGAAAAGGAAGGCTATGGCCAACCTGTATTAAAGCCCAGCCTTGCCTATAATGTCAACTCATAAAGTGAGACATAACTGTTTTACTAAACTGATTTGTTAAATAGGGCTAACAAATTGGCCAAAGAGTATAGAATTAAATACAGTAGTTATATTTACTCTAAAGCCTTAAGACTCAACAAAGGTCACCTGTTGGCTACACTGGAAAAATTTGTGCAGTATTAAATGTTATCTGCTGCATCTAAGTGTTAACCAGAAAAATCATCCCATGGTTTAAGTTGCTACTCTGGTTTAAATTTGACAATGAACCAGCCTTCATAACAGAAGGAATGCAAATAATAACTAAAACTTTGGTATCACCTGGAAACTATATGTGACTTATAGACCTCAAAACTTAGATAAGATAACATGCATAAACAGAACCATAAAAACTGAAATTGGTGAACTCTGCCAGGAAGCAAAGCTTATTAAACACAGGGCTTGCCACTGGTGTTGTTCAAAGAGGCCTCTGTCAATCCTCCACAATTTAGCAAGAACTCCTAAAAAACTGACAAAGACTAAATTAAATAGACAAAAACCCTAGAAAGAGTAGCAATAAAAATCTTCACTTGAGTAATTAACTGTGTTCTGTTTAGTTTTTATGTTTGTACATTCTTTCTCTCTGAAAAATCAAGGGAATTAAGTCTAAATCCAGGATCAGGATCTGTTCCCCCAACCAAGGCAGAAAGAACTTTATATCATCATTCTGACCACACGCATGGCAACGAAGATGGGAAAAATCCTCACCTGAAGTCATCACAACTGGCTAAATAGAGCTTCACTGTCCCTTGAAAGGTAAAAGTAACTTTTAAGACAGCCAACATGCCCTGCTCCAGTCACATACCAGAAGCTGGCTGGTCAATCACGGCAGAAGCCTGAGGAAACTCCTCAAGGAACCTATCTTGATTAGACTTTGAACTGAACTTTGGGAAAAGGGGGGAGGAATATCACACAGAGAAAAGTGAAAACTTGTATGTATATTAACCCACCACCCTGATCTAACTGATACATCTTCGTAAAGCTAAGTAAACTCTGCAGCTAGGGACAGAGAATTTTAAAATCCTAATGCACCAGATGAACAAAGATTTGAAGGAAGTAGAAAGCTCCATAACCCAAATAAAAACATCCTTAAACTCACTAGCTGAGGTAGTCTTGCAAAATTAGAGAGGGCTGAATCTTCTATTTCTGAAGCAGGGAAGCCTGTGTGTATCCCTGAGAGAAACTTATTACTTTTACACTAATAATTCAGGAATAATAAGAAACAGCATGTCACTAGGAAGAAAAGGTTGCAGAGAGAGGAGGCATGGGCCAATTAACAAATTGGTATAAAAAGACATAACTGGTCACCTTGCTGACTACACTCCTCTCTGCATTAGCAGAATCCATTGTCCTGTTCTACTGGGACGAACACTAGGACCTTGTGGTATTAATGCTCTCACTTATGTCCAAAAAGAATACAGATAGTGAAACTCATAGTATTATGAGCACACTATCAACATATCCATCAAGATAAGAATGAAATAATGATTTGATTCCCCGAAATCAGAAGGGGGGAATAAGATGGGTGCCAGCTTCCTCATCACCCCCATAAGATGGATGCCAGCAGCCTCACAATGGCGTCACACCACCCCCCGGATAGGAGGAAGGGGAAAAAGAAGTAAATGAAACAATGCCAAGTACCATTACTCTTAAATTGGTCCAGATCGGGCCGGAACAGGACAAGATAAGAACGGATGGGCCAGGAACTGTCATCACCAGAGTTAATGAGCTAAGTGCTATGACAAATCATTTTATTTATCCATGAGTTGCTAGATCTGCTTTATGTTACTTTATTGTTATCTAACTGCCCTTTATGTTACCTATTGGCTAAACTGCTAAATTGCAAGGTTCACATCTGTAAAAGAGTCATTGTGACCCTGTGCTTGCTTTTTGCTTCTTTTGCCAACTTTCTTTTTGCTTCTAATTGCTAACTTTCAGC